TACAACTGGCTGGAGCCAACATACCACAGAGTGATCAAAGTCCCACGCTAGAAAACAGCCAGTAGCACACAGCAAACCATCCCATGCCACCCCAGGCCACAACTTTTCTTCAGTTACCTAACATGCTGCATCTCACTTCTCTGCAGCCCTCCTCTGCTTCTATCCACTCCTCCAGCACCAGACAGAAAGGCCAGTGGAAGCTGGATAGCGACTTCCTAACTTTCTTTTGATTTCCAAGGCTTCTTTATGCAAGAAATCCTTCTTATACTAGCTATTTCATACTAAAAAAAGGTGTGACAAAGAAGTGAAACTCCACGTCTAAGAGTTCAATAAAACACCATGGTCTGTATTCCAAATTCTCACCGTGATTATGGAATCATTTTGCTGTCTGAGGTGTCAAAAATGGTCTTGCAGACAAAACACAGCCTTGAAGTTAAGAAAGGCAGAAACTGTAACTGCCCAGTCTTCTCTGCAAGTTGGGCACTCTGCAGAACAATGGTGAGCCAAGACTGTCAGGAGGCTTCCTGGTGCCTGAGAGTTGTTTACAAAGAAAACGCACTCAGGCTGGCTCGCTGTGGACAACCATAACATACTCTGGAATTCTAAGTGGAGAGAGTCCTTTTACACAGACTATTAACCTGGTGTAAAGCAAAAAGCAAAAAAATAAAAAACAGATTTCTTTCCAGGACCAAAAAAACCTCCCTCTGGGTAAAAAGGATAGAGAAGAAGAAAGGCACAAAGCCAAGACTAGCTCCGCAAGAGCAGGGGGACTGTTTTGTTCACTGCTCTGTTGAGAACAGTTGCTGGTGTACAGTAGGGTCTGAATACACACTCACTGAATGAATGAATGAAACCTTGACTTTTCAGAAGCTTTAACAATAGGATTAAGTCCATGGGGAGAAAAATCAAACAAGTAATCTGAACTTGGAGAAACCTCAAAATAAGGATTAAATAAATATAACCTCATGATTTTTTAGATTTCTCATATTAGAAACATATCCAAGAAAACCCTGCAAAAGTCCACGACAAAGTCTCTGTGACTTTCACTGGTACGTGCTCAGTATTTAATCAGGCTACTCTCTAGCAGCTTGTTTTGCTTAGCACTTCTAGCATCCTGGGCGTGAGGCAGGGGTGAAGTCTTGACCTTGGCCAGGCCCCCTGCATGGGTGGTAACAGGCCCAGAGCCACTTTCGTACACCGTAGGGATGGAAGGAACCCAAGAAATCGTCTCGCCAACAGCTTTGCCTTCAGGAAGCAACACGTTTGAACCATTCCAAACCAGAGAGTCCATCTATTTTGATAAGTTCTCCTTGTATAAAAATTTGTCTCTAAGTGTGAGACTTTTGGCAAGTTAGTCAACCCCCTTGCTCATCAGCTTCCTCATCTTTGAAATGGACATAAAAATATTAACTACCTTACGTGACTGATGTGAAGACTGAGGAATACATGGCACAGTATACGGCACAGTGCCAAGTATACTGTAAGTGCCCGACAGAGCTGTTATCACTTTACTCTTTTATTTGTAAATAAACAGGTCCTAGCATTTCACATTGAGCACTGGCCTGGACTCTAATTCTGATTAGGTCCTTACCTTAGTTCTCAGTCAGTGAATGATCTGCTATTCCCCAAACTCCTTGATATTGGTAGATCTACTTCAACCTTCCCTTGAAAGTTCATGGGTACATAAAGTTCCAATAATGCAGTACAGATACAGAGATGCAGCTTCTCATTGTATGTGAGAACTGTCCCAGGCCTCCTCAGTATATATGGATGTTACAATTACAAATTATAAATGCCCCAAGTAAACAAAATAGTTGGGCCTAACATTCTGGAACCTGGCTTGAATGAGGGCAGAGGCAGCAGGCAGTAATTGTAATGTGCTAGACTAAAGAAACTAGGGTTCAAGTGCTAGTCTGTCACATTTAGCTGGGTAAGCAAGCTATTTCACCTCTCCTGGTTTCAATTTCCTCTTTACAAAACAGGGGTATGTACCAGATCAACTCTATAAAGTTCCTTTTGAGCTCTAAGACTCAATGATTCCACAGAAGGGTGAAAGCCAAGAAGGTGGCTGGCAGGGTCAAAGCAGATATAAAGATATGAGGCCAGGGGCAGGGGGTGGGTAAGAACTAAGAATGTGAATGTGAAGAGAAAACTGCAGGTTAATAAGAGAAAGGACTTGGTCAAACAGTAAGTCAAACCTTACCTATAAGGGTGCAGACTGGGAGGATGAGCTGGGCTGAATGCCTAGGAAAAGACTAGTTCAGGAAAATTCTGAAGGGCCAATGGCTTGGAGGACCATTTATTTTTGGACGTGCAGTACCAGCCAGAAAGAACCTTATTTCTTCGGGGACTAGGGAGCTGAGGGAGAAGGCATCTGGTGACCTGAAAGAGTGTGGAACTCCAAAATCAAACTTACAGCTAGACTCTTCAGGTATACCATGTAGCTACAAACTACTCATATCAGAGGTTAAGAGCTCAGACTCTGAAGATGGGCGGCCTAGGTTCAAATCATGGTTCCATGACTAACTAGCCTTATTAGATCAGGCAAGTGAGCTAATCGCACTCTACTTCAGTGTCTTCATCTGTAAAACAGACATAAAACCAGAACCTACTGCATAGGGATATTGTAAAGATCAAATGAGCCAATATATGGAAAGCCCTTTGAACAGGGCCTGGCATCTGGTAAGTACTAAATAAGTCAGCTTATTTTCTGCTGCAGAGTGGGATGTTTACATGACTCACTGCAGAGTCACTTCATTCACTCCATGAAGAGGAGTTAGGGGCAGGGTATCCTACCCAAGGCTGAAACTTAGAAAAAGAACAACTTCTGTTGCCTTTTGTTCCCCGGGTAGAGTCAAGCGGAAAACCCACCAGTGATCAGGAAGAAACCTAGCAGCACTGGAGGTGGTGAAGCTGGTAGGTCACTACTGCTCCCTTCAAGGAGTGTCAGATGATCCCCGGGAGCATTAGGCCAGCCCTTAAGGAAACAATACGCTGAAGGGCTTTCCCATGGGAGCTACATTCACTTTACATTCTCCCTCGACATTTACTTTAAAGGTATTGCTAAGTAGTCCTAACTGAAAGGCAGCTGCTTTGGGGTACCATGACAATAGGAATGAGTTATATATTTTTTACTTTTCTGGCCCTCTTTCAGGCCCAGCAGTTTGCCCTTCTTATACCTAGTTCTCCCCAATATGTTTCTATTCACCACTTAATTATGCATTCTTAACTTTCCTTTCAAGTGCTATGTAAAATGCTGTTAGTTTTACATGTCTACAGCTTCCCAGAATTATCACACATAGGAAAATAGGGTGCAGTATCTCCATTTACAAGTAAAAGCAGCACTTTAACAGAATCAACAACATTAAAGACCTAAAACCACACCCTTCCAATGCTCTCTCTTTACAAGTGAGCTCTAAGGACTCATTTTCATTTCTATCTGCAAGGCAAAATATTCATTTGGAGTGGCCAAACAACCTGGCTTGTTGACAAGACACCTATGTTTCTTGACTTTTTAAACTCCGATACACAGAATGAGCAATCACTGTTCATTTACTATTATTGCTTAACTCAACAGTCTGTGGAGATGTACTTTATAAGATGGAGAGAAAGAAAGTAGGTGCCATCAACTTGGTCCTAAAAATTGTTGACTTCATCTCATGTGTCAAAGAGTAGAAAATGACTTTAGGGAGGCTGTGAGGGGAAGACAGGAAAGGAGGCTGATGCATCCGAGGCAGCAGCACAGGCTGGCCTAACTGACACATTTCTCTGGCTCTTTCCCCTACATGCTCTGGACCTTCCTGATAGGAGCTGGAAACTTCATTTTTTTGAGCTTTGTTGTTTCAAAAACAACCTCCCCAGTAAATACAAGAAAGTTATATACTTGGAATTTAAACGTTTAAATACATAAATTGTTTAAAAAAAAAAACTTATGAGGCTGGGTTTTTGTTTTACAATGCTCCCTTCCTCTGATTTTGATATAATTCTCGAAATCTTTCCATGATTTCCTCAAGTGCACAAAAATAGCTTTCAAAGGAGACCCAAACCAAGTGATGATTTTTATGACTGATTAGATCTTGGCTTAAAGAGTAGCATTATGATTATAAAGCTTAGTTTCAACTGCTAAATATTTTTTGAAAACACTGAAGAGAAAACATACTTCCTCAACAGTTATGCTGAAGCCTAAAGGTTTCAGAACACAGTTAAACAAAAAGTTCTATAATCCATTTGTGATATTAACTTACATATTCCTTCATACAGGCAAATAAGATAAACATTAAGATAAAACAATAATAAATGAATAAAATAAAATCCCCAAATAATACCCCCTTATTCTTTCTCAAAAGTAAATTTCGAATCTTAGCCACATTACACTATTCTCAAAAGGGAACTCCTCAAATGGTCTATCAGACCAGGAATTCCTATGCTACCATTGACACATTGTTACTAAATTTAAGTGCTTCTTTAATTCAACTTATTGGCAAAATTGTATACTCAGGAGCTCTACATAGTGAACTGTGAAACAGAGAGAAAAGACTCAATTGAATGAGAGGGATATACCTAGACAAAAACCTAGCCAACAGGCTAAGGATTATTAGAGGATATGGACTCAGATGCTTTCAATAAACCAATAGCTATTTATTAAAATACCTATTATGGATAGGGATCACAGGAGAGAAAACAGTAGAGTAAGATACACTCAAATCCCTCCTATGAGCAAAAACACTCATCCCTATCATGTGTGTTTTATAATCAGGGGGCTTGAATTTGGCTCCACCCGGTGTGTTTCTCTGACATCCTTCTTAATCCTCTGAGCCTCAGTTTCTCAATCTGCAAAATGGGGTAATAAAACCCATCCCATAGAGTTTCCCTGAGGATTGAATTAAATGAGACAACATAGGGAAAGTGTCTCTCATTAGATGTCAGTAAATGTTATTTCCTTTCTCATGATATACTGCCAAGAAAGCCGTATCTAATAAATAACAAATGCGGTATTCTACCTGGAAAGGGTCTGTCTGCATCACCCCCATGCAGAGGAACTCCCTTATTTTCTGGCATATACTTCTTGGTAATGGGCAAAGACATCAGCCGGATGTGATGGATGAGTGAGCGCCAGGTATGAGCTCCAGAAAGCACTGGTTCAGGTGGTAATGGGCTGAAAGGCTGAATCACAAAGTAGGCAGTGAGCAAGATTAATCCCAGGGTTACAACGACCTACAAGGAAAGACAGGAAATGGATTAATAATTGTTACAGCAAACAAAATACTTTTAGGCCAAGGGAAAAAAACAGGCATCTTCTACTATTTCCAGTGTGCTTTAAGAACTAATCCATTTTCATAAACAAGCCACTGACATTCACTTCTGAAAGCATTTAAAGCTTGAGAACTGTGAGGACTGCAAGGCTCACCAAGCTTTTATCATACAGACCAGGGGCTATGTCCATCATTTAAAAATATACACAGGTACAGTTAATGATAAATACACATCTTTCATCTAGAACATTTAACAAAGTAGTCAAATTTGCTAATAACACATCGTAACAAAGAGTAAAGGCCAATTTATTCATAGAAAAACCAAGGTTCGGTGGTGGAATCAGTCAACAGTAACATTTGGGGAGAATGTTGAAGAGTTTGTGCTCTAAGCTATTTCCAAGTCAGAACACATTTTTACCTTGTACACAGCTAGAAGGAGGGGATACTGGGGTGGCCCCCTCTGAGGTTCATTTTTTTCCAGTAGCTGTCTGATAAATTTTTCAATTGCTTTCTCTGACATGCCACACTGATGGCCCGTCTGTCTTACCAAATCAACAGTCTCTGAAAGTTTGTCATAAATGCTGAGCTCATTAGCAGCAAGATCCATGTCTTCTAATACAAAATCCCTGAGAGAGAAAGAAAACGAATGCAAAAAGAAAGATGGTTTCTTTAAAGTACTTCCTCCACAAAGTTACTTCCTTTAGAACAGTGCTTTTTGACCACCTGCGGGGAAGGAACAATTCTTCTGTAAAACACAATGAATACACTGAGACAATGTCAAGATGCAATACAAGTTTTTAAATGTTTTTTAATTGTGGGCTAGTAATAAATGGTTCACAGGCCAGCACTGGTTCCCAAACACTTTGAGCAATACCTGTCCAGAGCACAATAAATCCCTAATGGGACTCAGAAACACTAGTGTCATCCAAAATGATTTCTGAAACCAATCACAGGAGATCTGCTACTGGTAATTTACTAAAATAAAAAGAAATGGAATATGGAAAGTGTTGTTGATCAATTATTTCTTTCCTTTCACATCAGATGAACCTTTTAGCAACACAAGGGGAGGAACTTATCACTGAAGGCAAGATTTACTGAGGAACACATTGACATGCTTTGTTCCTGACAGACCAAGGATTTCAGACAACACAAAACCATGGCATGGTAGCGCTCCAGACTTAGCAGGTTGCAGTCCTCATGCTTTTCTGCAAATACAATCTCAGACAATAAAGGGCATTCGGTTTATATTTTACATACTTAAAGGCCTAAGATCTATAACGTATTTCAAAATTCAATTTGTATTCTAATAGTTATTTTAAAGCCAGATTGTTTCACAGTGGCCATAGAATTAAAGGCAAAAACTAAAGGCAAAATAGAATTCTCTGTATCATTTGTAAAATGAAATTAAAAAGTTCTTTTTAAAAAGTTCTTATGCTACAGAACAATGTTTTTCTTCATTTATAGGAGGAAAAGCAGTGCTTGGGATTTGTGCTCTCTTCTGTTGGTTGGGTTTTGTTGTTGTTGTTATTTTCTTGCTTTTACATTGCAGAGGGTCCTCCTATTTCACATATTTCATCCCCAAGGTGTTGCTAAGATCAAAAAGCACTGACATGGTACAACAACTATTTCCTCGGTAAGGAGATGCTGCCCCCTGTAGAACAGAGGACAACAGTCATGAAGCTCCAGCAGAGGAAGAGGTCTGCACTGCCACAAACCAGCATACATCCCGGCATAGCTCCTCTTCTAACAATGCCTCCTCTAATGACTCCTTCCCTTTGGTCCTCTTTCTATTAACCTTTTACTTCACTGGTTCTTAACTGTGCCTGCACATTAGAATCACCTAGAGAGCTTTTAATGAATGCTTATACCAGGGCCCCAACCCAAGACCAACTAAATCAGAATCAGACTTCTAATGGTGGATTAACAGGCAGGTAATCTAGACTTTGGGGATTGGGGAAGGGAGGGAGCAACCCCACATTAAAGGGGACACAACCTTTCTCCAAACTCTCTGCCGTTGCTCAAACTGCTTTTTTAAAACCACAAAGGCCTTCATTTCAAGGTTCAGGTAAAAGGATGGTGAAAACTCTATTTTAAAATGTGTAGTTTTGGGAATTCCGTGGCGGTCCAGTGGTTGGGACTCAGCGCTTTCACTGCTAAGGGCCCAGGTTCAATCCCTGGTTGGGGAACTAAGATCCTACAAGCTGTGTGGCGTGGCCAAATAAAATAAAATGTGTATTTTCCACAAATGGTGCTGGGACAACTGCATATCCACATGCAAAAGAATGAAGTTGGATGCTTCCTTATACCACAGACAAAAATTAACTCAAAATGGATAAAAGACCTAAACTTAAAAGTTAAACTATAAAACTCTTAGAAGAAAACAAAGGGGGAAATTTTTATAACAGTGGATTAGGCAATGGCTTCTTAGATATGACACCAAAAGCACAAGTAGCAAAAGAAAAATAAATTGGACTACATCAAAATTAACAATTTTTGTGCTTCAGATGATACCATCAAGAAGGTAAAACGACAACCTACAGAACGGGGGGGCAATATTTACAAATCATATATCTGTTAAGGGACAGGTATTCAGAGTTCATAAAGAATTCTTACAACTCAATTATAAAAAGACAAATACCCAATTAAAAATGGGCAAAGTATTTGAATAGATATTTCTCCACAGAAGATATACAAATGGCCAACAAACTCATGAAAAGATGTTTAACATCATTAGCCATCAAGGAAGTGTAAATAAAAACCACAATAAGATACCACTTCTCACCCACGGGGGTGACTATAATCAAAAAGTCAGATAATAACAAGTGCTGGCAGTGGAACTCTTGCACACTGTGGCTGGGAATGTAAAATGATGCAGCTGCTTTGGAAAACAGTTTGGCAGTTCCTCAAAAACTCAAATGTAGAGTTACCATATGACCCAGGAATTCCACTTGTATGTACCCACGATAATTTAAAACAAATATCCACACAAAAACTTGTATGTGAATGTTTAAGCAGCATTATTCATAATAGCTCAAAAATGGAAGCAACCCAAATGTCCATAAATGGATACACAAAATGGATATTAATAATATCCATACATCAATAATATTCATACCATGGAATATTACTGGACAATAAAAAGGAATAAAGTACTGATACATGCTACAACATGGATGAACCTTGAAAACATTATGCTAAGTGAAGGAAGACAGTCACAAAAGACTACGTATTACATGACTGCATTTATATGAAAAGTCAAGGATAGGCAAATCTATAGAGACAGAAAATAGATTAATTAGGGGTTGCCTAGGGGAGGGGGGGGGAGGAATGGGGAGTGACTGTTAATATAGGGTTTCTTCCTGGAGCGACAAAAATGTTCAAAACAAATTGTGATGGTTGCACAACTTTGTGAATATACAAAAACCACTGAATTGTACATTTTATAATGAATTTCATGGTGAATTTCATGGCATAGAAATTATATCTCAATAAAGATGTTGTAAAATGTGTACTTACAGAATCTGAACTTACCCCGTTGTGGCATTTATTACACTCATTGCTATGATTTTGGCTAAGTCACTCGGTCTATTTCCTCATCCAAAAGATAAGAGGATTGAACCAGAAAATTTTTCAAGTTTCCTCTAGCTCTAAAATTCTAGGAGTATATGAATATTTCAGGAAGCAGAAAAAATTCAATACATTAGAAGTTAAAGCCTTATGTCCAATTGCATTCCTATATTACCATTTCTTGTTATGCCATCTGATATGCCAGGTGTTGTGCTAAGCACTGCAGAAACATTATCTCAGTAAATCGTCACAGCAATCCCATAAGGTAAGTGTGATTAATCCCGCTTCACAGATCTGGAAACTAAGGCTAAGAAAGGTTTCATAACTTGCCAGAATGTGAACACAAGTGTGCCTGACTTCAGGGCTGGTGCTTTTAATCTTTATGCACGCTGCCTCCCTTACCAAGTATGTTCCTATTCTGAGCAGGCAGTTCTGAAACCACAACACCGTGTCCCTTGATTATCACAAATGAGTGGTTGAAAACTGGAAAGTGATCAACTACAATGATTCCTGAAAAAAGAATAAAGCAATAACTTATTACAATATTTTTCACATCTTGCTTTTGTGACCAGTGATTCCAGAGACACAGCATTTTCCTGTTTAAATGAACAAAGATATTCCAAGCAAGCAAGCAAGCTACAATAAATTATCCAACAATACCCAGTCAAAATCCATTAAAACTCAGTAGAGGACCAGAAAAGGAAAGCAGTGGGAATTCTAAAAAAAATTCCAGTAAAAAACTTTAAAGATTTGAGAGATGGGGGCACCTGTAGGTATCCTCATGGAGAAGAGAACGTCACATTGGTGTGCACTTAGGGGCACCATGAAGGGGAAAGAAGTGCAGGTGAGGTTAAAAGGAGAACCAACTATCATCGGTTTTGAAGACTGTTTCACAGTCTTTGTAAACCTCTGCCCACTTTTGATACGCATAAAAATCTCATTAAACTCCCAGTTTGTGTTGCAAATAGGGTTTTTTTAAATTTCAAGTACACAATGATAATATGATACTGAATACATATATTTTTGCAAGCTGTACATCCTTCTTCTCCGAGATTCTGACACATTTCTCAAGTTATCAGAAGGGTAGTTACTAATAATTTAGTGAAGTTTTCAAGAGCACATGGAGGTCTTGATAAAAAGCCTTCCTTTCGCCTTTGGTAAGATCAGTGGTTCTCAACTTGGGGCAACTCTGCCCCTGAGGGGATATTTGGAAAGTCTGGAGACATTTGTGATTGTCACACTTGAGGGTACTACTGGCATCTAGTGGCTATGACGTTAATTAAACGACAAAAAAATCTTGTCCCTTTAGGTCAGACTATAGAGCAGCTCCCTGGCTGCAATCTGCTGAAAGTCAACCCTCAACACGACAGTTTGTATAAAAAACAAAAACAAAAAACTTGTCCCTTAAAAAAAAAAAACACACAAAATCATGGCTAAGCATCAAGTATATTCATTTAGACTGAGTGAAATCAGCTGAAGCTTGATGGCAATCCCTTTACCTCCAGAAAGAAGGTCCAACTCTGGCAGAAATGAGCTTTGCCACAGAGGGAAGTTCCGATGAGCGAGCTTGACTCTTAACAGTGGCTTATACCTGCAAGGGCACAGGCAGAATCACTTGCAGAGTTGCAAAAATCAAGGTATCATGCACCACCTTGGATATACTGAATTGCCAGAACCTTGGGAATGGGACCCAGGTGCAGAAGATTTCAAACCTCTTCCCTGCTGATTACAGACACACCCCACAATTAGGATACATTGCTGTGGAACAGTGGAATCTCAACTCGGATGATTCTGCTCCAGAATCATAGCTATTAAAATGAATAATTCTCTAACATCACCTAATATCTAGTCCACAGTCAAATTTCCCCCAAAGATCCAAAAGAAAGAAAGAAAGAAAGAAAGGCAAGCCATATAACTTTTTAGAAGTCTAGGATCCAACCAATGATCACATTATCACGGTGTGCTGTCATGTCTCTTTGGTCTACTTAAATCTACAATAGATGCTGGTGGGTTTTTTTTTTTTCCTGGCCTTTTATGACACTGACATATTTGAAGCAGGAATCCCCACATCTTTAAACATATTTCTACTTATTCCTATCTTCACCACTTCTAGTTTCTACCATTTAAAAAAAAAATCCTTCCTCTTCAGATTTCCAGAGCTCATACTCTTCCTCCCTTCAGAGCCAAGCTCCCTTAAAAAAAAAAAGTATCACTTCACCTTCTTGTTTCTCAGGTCACCATTCGTTTCTGACCCCCTCATGCCACTGATACTGCTCTCACTAAGGTCACCAAAGGCTTTCTACACATGCCAAGTCCAAAGGACATTTTTTCAGTTAACACCTTATCTGACCTCTCTGCAGCAGCTTCCATTGCTACCCATTATCTCCCTCAAGGGCTCTCAAACCTTGGCATAATTCTCTTGTTCTCTTCTGAGTCTATGTCCCGGAATGTTGGTATTCATCACAGTTGTCCTTGACCGTCTCAATTCCCTCCATGGCTTTAACCACCAGCTATTAGTGATTTCCAAATCTCTTCTCCAGTCTAGAACTCTCTCCAAAATGCAAGACCCATCTATCTAACTACCTACCAGACACCCTGGCCCGAATTTCCTATAGTCCCCTATATGTAATGTGTTCCTAACTGACTTATTATTTTTCCCCTGCAAACCATTTCTCCTACTATATTCCTTTTCTTAATTAATGGAAACACCAGTTCTCCAAACTTAAAACCTCTCCTCCTGCTTCTTCATCCCCACTAATGAACCAATCACCAAATCCTCAATTCTACATCCTGTATAGCTCTCACATTCATCACCTCCTCTTCAGCTCTACGTGAGCGGCAGTCAAGGCCCTCAACATCTCTCCCACAGACCATCACAAAGTTATATTTAATCTCTATATTTCCAATCCTCTTTCTCCTTTCTGATCCATCCTCTACAAGTTATTTTTCTAAAACACAAATTGGTGCACATTGCTCATCTATTTAAAGCACCCTCCTTGACTTCCCATGCCCTGCTAGGGAACAATTTAGCATGGTGGTTAAGAACACAGGCACCGGAGTTAGAAAAACCTGAATGCAAATACTGGATTCTCCATCTACTGTGTGGCCATGAGTCACTGTTTACCCTCTTTAAGCCTCAGAGTTTTCATTTATAAAATGAGGATAATTGTGTCTTTCCAACCATGTTGTTATGGGATTATAAGGTGATGTATGGAAAACATCTGTCTCAATACCCAAATTAAATACTTAATAATTATTATAAGATGAAGTCCAAATTACTTAGCATGGCCCTTTATGATCTGGTTACTGCCTACCTGTTCAGTCTCATTTCCCATTCCTCCCTCACAGTTTTCATTGCCATACTATTTCACATCTTTTTGCTTTTGTACACATAATTTCCTTTGCTTACAAAACCTAGCCCCAAGTGCTTTGTCCAATGACTGAACGCTATCCCAACCTTCATTTTTGCCCTATGAACCTTAAACACAACTCTATCGTTTTGTATTACATCTACTTCCTTGTCTTCCTCTCACACTAAATTGTTTCTTGAAAGCAGAGATAAGTGGAGAAAATAACACAAATAACAGACGTGGAAATTCACCTCAGAGACGTGGAACCTTATCAGTGTCTGTTGAACAAATTTATAGAAAGGACCTAAAGTGATCATTCTGTTCTCAAGCTAATTTTCTTTTTTTTTGCGGTACGCGAGCCTCTCACTGCGGTGGCCCCTCCCGTTGCGGGGCACAGGCTCCGGACGCGCAGGCTCAGCGGCCATGGCTCACGGGCCCAGCCGCTCCGCGGCATGTGGGATCTTCCCGGACCGGGGCACGAACCCGTGTCCCCTGCATCGGCAGGCGAACGCTCAACCTCTGCGCCACCAGGGAAGCCCCCTCAAACTAATTTGATGTAAGTAATCGTTCATTTATTTTACTTTTTCTTCTTATATTTTAAAAATACATCAGCCTAATGAGAGGTTAGGTGAGCAAGTTAGGAACTTTACACTTGGATATTTTTTGTGGAGTTTGAGAGCAGCTGTGGAAGAATAGGGATTCAAACTGGGTCTTGAAAATTGTTTTGGTCCAAAGCAGAAGGGGCAAACAGGGCCTGTGGTATTCAAGCTGGGCGATGTGAACTTCAGTCAAAACTTCAATGTAGCAAAGCTAAATTTGGTTAAGGCATGTTGTTCTTTAGAGGGAAACTGTGATAACTCAAACTCAAATAAGCAAACTTACTAAGGGAGAGATGCCCAAAGAACATTTCACCATGGGAACAACTAAATAAGCAAACAGAAAAAGCCAAAATAATAAGTATCTGGGAATAGTCTCTATTATAAGGAGACGACCAAATACTTTAAAAGAAGTATACTGGTGAATACCAAGACTATGCAGGCTCTTAGACCAGAAAAAGTGTGGTCTGAAGGGTTAATGGTCTTAAAATACTACGCGGAACACGAGGCAGGTAAATTTCCTTGTTCTAAAAGGAGATTACAAACAGCTCATTTACTTGGGTTAATAAACCAAGTCATATTCCTTTCTGAAATCCGAGATGCCATGTTATCATATACCAAGATCACACTTTAAAAAAGCATTCTCTCCCTAACAATTATTAGAAAAAGATGTTTCGGAAGGAGGCGGGGAATCTACTCTCAACCAACCAAAAAGAAAAAAAATTAGAAATCTGTCAAAAGGGCAGTGAAATCTAGACTTCGCTAGCAGCGCTGTGTTGGACACTGCTGTGACGCCCGCAAAACAAGTTCAATTAGGGTCGAACTCGCTTTGCTCTCCCCGGCAGAGCCAAGGCAAAAAAGAGGGAATCGACCCCGGGGGAGTTGCACGAGGATGCCGTCAGTCTGCAAAACGCCAAAGGCTCAGAAAAGGGGTCAGCGCAGGGGCAGGAGTGGCAGTGGCCCCGAAAGGTGGGCTGCGCGAGGATGTCATAGACGGGTGCGGTGACGAGGCTGTCACGAAGCTGCCTCCCCCCTCCCGGCCTCGGGCCCCAGTCACTCACATGCGGGTCCCGCGCCCCCTCGGGCTCCTCCCGCCTCGGGGATACTAAACTGCCGGGCGTGGAGTATAGGCCCACAACTTCCTGCTTCCGGGCGCGCAACCCGGAAGCAACTCCTACGCCAAAGGCGAGGCAGCGCTCTTTCTTCCCGCCCCACGCTTCCGCCAGAAGCCGAAAGCACAAAGACTCGGAGCGCTCGGGAACTCTCGCGAGATCTGGAGAGAACGGGTTCTTGCACCCCCTGGCGTCGTTTTTTCCTCATCGGTCATGTTCAGTTCTTGCCAGGGTTTCTCCTCTTCGTGGGCTACCACAGACTTCATAGGTGAACTGATTCATTCAGTGAGCGTTTGTTGAGCCTCCTACTACGTGCCAGGCAGCGTGTTAGGCATTAAGGGGTGGGAGTGGGAGGGATTACGTAAATGGTGGGCAGGCCCTTACCCTTGGGATCTAAAAGAAAGGCGGGCAAACAAATCACTCAGATTTACACACTGCCCACTCATTAATGTTAATTGAGAGATTACTCTTTGCCAGACATTACAAAGGACTTTACATTCGCGAAGCTGCTTTAACAACCTCCATTTACCCTCATACCAACCAAGCTGAAGTTTATGGAAAGGTTAAATTGCTCGAGATTACACTGGAAGCTCCCTCTGTTCAGGTTCTGGTGTGGAACAGGCCGTGTGAATGTTGAACTGAACTGAATTAGGACATGGTCCCTAACATGGGCTGTTAACAATCTTCTCGGTGAGAAGAAAATCTGACACAAGCAATTAGACAACGATGGAAGGCGGCACTGAATTAAAGACCAAGAAGAGAGAAGGGGAGAGAGTCTACTGTAGACAGGAAGAGTAGAGAGGTTTTCTGAAGGAGCTGGAACAAGGACATGGGCGAAGTTTGGGAAAGCATTGCAAGGAAAAAGACTAGCTTGGGCAAAGGTCTGGAAGTGGGAATGCTGGTGCCACATTTAAGGGTTGGATAAAATAGGAAATCAGGCTGGAGAAGTCAGTGAATGGTCAATGATGAAGGGCCTTCAAGCCCAGGCCAAGTGATTTGGTACTTTAATGGACAAAGGGAAGCCATTTAATACTTCATGGCAATATCTTGTAGTATTTCAGGAAGAGGGCTTTGCCTGCTGTGTGTAAGATGTATTAGTGGGGGGAAGCCAAAAGGCAGGGGACCCAGCAAAGGGGCTTCTGAAATAATTCTGGTCTTAAAGGTCTGAAACAGCAGTGGGAATGGGAAGGAAGGGATACAATTTGGGGATCTTTGGAAGAAAGAACTGACACATCTTGATGTGTCACTTATAGGGAGCAGAGAGAAAGAGGATGACCTTCAGGTTTCCAGCTCAAAAAATGATGTTTCTCTAAAAGTTTATAATTTTGTTTTTAACAAGGGACATTTATTCAGAAGACACATTAAGCTCAGATACAGAATAAATGAAGTATTATACAAGCTACAATTTAATAGTGAATTTAGAAAAGGAATCCACGCCTCTTTGTCAACTCTGTCCTGAAGTCACTGACACCTAATATTCTCTTGGGGACAAAAAGGCCAACAAATACTGAGCCTCTTGAGGAAGGATTTGGAATGAGCCAGCAACACGCTATCTTATTCTTGTGTTAAACCCCAATACATCCTCATTGTACCCTAAGCCTCCCAAGATAATACAGTAAGGAACTACATAAAGTCCAAAGAAAGGAAACTCAGATAACAGACAGAAAGGACCAATGATGAAAACTTTTCCATCCAACTCAAGGGTCATAACACAAAACTGTAGGAAGTGTAAACTTAATTATACCTTACATTAGCACAGCACTCGTCAGTCTAAAAAGTTATTTTCTGTCCATTAGTCATTCAATGAAACCTGAGCATCTTATGTTCAGTCCTCTTCAAGGAGGGCGCAAAGATGAAAGAGGCACAGTTATACTTTCAAGGAGCTCACTGTCTACTTTGACCTTTACAACCTTGTATACCCTTATTCCTGCTTGGCAGTTAAGGAAACTAGGATTGAACTGTGGTCAAGAGCACAGGCTCACAGCTGTGGTACTTTGAGCAAATTATTTAATCTCTGTAAGCCTCAGTTTCCTCAAAGTAAAAAGGGAATAGTGATATCTACCTCCTGTGGGTTTGAAGATTAAGTGTTGTCAAAAGTTCAGAAATAAGCTACAAGGATATAGTGCATAGCACAGGGAATAGAGCAATATTTTATAATAACTATAAATGGAGTAAAACTTTTAAATATTGTGAATCACTAGGTTATACACCTGAAAGTTACAAAATATTGTAAATCGACTGTACCTCAGTTTTTGTTTTCTTTTTTTAATTTTTATTTATTTATTTATTTATTATTTTTGTCTGTGTTCGGTCTTCATTTCTGTGCGAGGGCTTTCTCTAGTTGCGGCGAGCGGGGGGCCACTCTTCATCGCGGTGCACGGGCCTCTCACTGTCGCAGCCTCTCTTGTTGTGGAGCACAGGCTCCAGACGCGCAGGCTCAGTAGATGGGGCTCACGGGCCTAGTTGCTCTGCGGCATGTGGGATCTTCCCAGACCAGGGCTCGAAACCGTGTGCCCTGCGTTGGCAGGCAGATTCTCAACCACTGTGCCACCAGGGAAGCCCTGTACCTCAGTTTAAAAAAAATTTTTTTTTAAATTTTTGGCTGCGTTGGGTCTTCATTGCTGCACACGGGCTTTCTCTAGTTGCGGCAAGAGGGGGCTACTCTTCGTTGCGGTGCGCAGGCTTCTCATTGCTGTGGCTTCTCTTGTGAAGCACGGGCTCTAGGCGCAGGGGTTTCAGTAGTTGTGACACGTGGGCTTAGTTGCTCTGTGGCATGTGGGATCTTCACAGATGAGGGATTGAACCCGTGTCCCCTGCATTGGCAGGTGGATTCTTTTTTTTTTTTTTTTTTTTTTTTTTTTTTT